AGGACATTATACTGAATGAAAAATAAGTCAATCACAGAAGGACAAATATAGTATTAGTTCATTGTTGTGGAGGGTCAAAGAAAGGTTTATATATGGAGAGAAACTTTCTTTGTTGATTGCCAGGGGTGGAAGGGGAGGGGAGGGAACACTGCAAACAAAAAAAATGCATTGACCATGTCACTTTAGTTTTGTGTATTTCACTGTATGTAAATTATATTTCAATAAAATGCATTAAAAAAAAAAGATACCGTAAGTTTCATAAAGACTGGAACAAAATATATGCAATGCATACTTCTGACAAAGAATCAATATCCGAAACATAAAGAATTCTAGTAAATCAACTAGAAGAAAAAAAAAAATGTAAGCAATCCAACGAAAAACAAGTAGGAGAAAGTCCAAAAAGCCAAAAACCTAAGAAAAGTTGATCAACCTCAATGGTAATTACCCACTGCTGTTGAGAGTTGGATCGACTCATAGCAGCCCCTCCTTGGGTTTCCAAGGCATTCTCACTATGGAAGTAGACTGCTCAACCTTTCTTCCGAGGAGTGGCTGGCAGGTTTGAACCGCCAGCTTTCTGTTTAGCAGTCAAATGCCTTACAATGGTAATTAGGGAAATGTTAATTAAAACAAGCATATACTATTTTTGATCCATCTAATTCACAAATGTTTTAAAGTCTGACAATACAAATGATGGTGAGAATGTGGGGATAAATTGTAGGGCAATTTCAGACTATCTGGTAAAGATGATGTTGTCCATCTTAGAGGCAACTGGTTTCCATTACTCCTACATTCTCTAGAGAAACTCACACATGTACAAGATGATAACAGAAGGCTGTCCATACAAGGACTGCATTAGGGGACAAGATTAAAAAACAGACTAAATGTCAATAAGAGATTGGCACAGAAAAATTTTAGTGTAATCATATACGGGAATCTAATAATCAATGAACATGAACAAAGCAAAACTACATGTATCAGTATGGAGGAATTACAAAGTTGCAGAGGAATATATATACTAGACATACAAAGTTTAAAAGTATACACAGTGTATATTGTTTGTTTAAGTGTGCTTTGGGTGCAAATTTACATAGCAAACTTTTTTTTTAAGCTTGTTTTACATTCATCTTTACCTTTACATTTAGTTTCATTCCCCATTTACCCTGTCCAACCCTAACTCAGTTTCCTCCCATTCCTCCCCTTCAACTCTCCCCCTGTGCCCATCATTTATGCACTCCTATTTGTCCTGTAGTTCCTCAACCTGAATGGTGGTCCTCTGGTGCCCTGTGGTCTATTGCTCTAAGGGATGTATTACCATAGAGTATGTGGGTGCATCATCCTGGGTTGAGTGGTCTGTATATACATCTTGTTAACTATTGGCCTGAGAGCCAGCCCCTGGGGGTGAGTTTTATTCTAGGCACAGAATGTATTCCAGGACCATAGTATTGGGGGTCTCACCAAACTTCCTCTGACCAGTAATTATGGTCATTATTGAGTTTTTGGATTTTGTTCCACATTTTTCCTCCCACTCTATCCAGGATCTCCAGATTTGATCCTTTCCTGTGTGGTTGCCCTTGGTAGCTAGGCACCATCTAGTTCTGGTCTTGAGGGCCATTGTGTCCTAGGGCTGATTGCTTCCAAATGCTCTTTTTTTTTTTTTTTTTTTTTGCATTCTTCTTCGCTTCTGACGTTAGACTGTTAGCTGCATCTTAGATGGCCACTTGAAAGCTTTTAAGACCCCAGTCACCACACGCCAACGTAGGAGGTACAGCAAGGCTTTTATGTATTTTGTTGTGCCAATTGAGTCTGGTGTCCCCCAGTACTACGATCCTGAGTTGGCAGATCTATTGGATCTCTCTCCCATAGTGTCTGGGTGTCTGTGACGGATTACTTTATGTTTGTCTTCTATGCTTTCTGTAATGATTGCAGGTATTTTGTATCAGTGGTGCCTGTGCAAGACTAGCCTCAGATGAATCTATCCTTGGTCTAGAGTATACTAGTGTTCACCGACCCCCGTCTGATCATCTCAGGTGTTTATGTGGCAGACTTGTTTTACATTCAAAATTCATGCACATCTGGTTCCACAGCCCCGATCACCATCCTCAACAGTAAGAAACTCTACTTCCCTCTCTTCTCCATGGCCATCCCCTCCTTGTGCCCCTCTTATCCATGTATTCCTGTCTGTCCAGCCTTTCCTCTATGTGAATGCTACCCCTCTGGTGGCTCATGGCTGCTTGATCCAAGGGGTGTATCTCTCTAGAGTAAGTGGGTCCACAGACCTGGGGTAGGTGTGTTGTATGTGGGTCTTCCTACTGTACTAGTAGAAATTTAAGACATATTTGAGACAATCTGAAAAATGAGAAATGATCTAACAGCCCATCAACAGGGATTGATTAAACAAATTTGCAAATAAATTCAATGTGATCTTTTAAAAGAATGAGATCAACATAGTAGTTAAAAAGGGTAAGGTACAGAAGGTAAATGATTACAATTAGTTAAACACACACGTGGGATGTAATGTGAGATGAGGGAGAAAATCTGAACACTATACCCCAAAATTAAGTTTCAGAGTTGGATAGAAGAGAATTAACTTTTAATTACACACTTCTACCCTGGCCAAAGCAGTAAACTACATTTGAGGGTGGGTAAGGTCAAAATATATGTGTTGGGAGGTTTAAGGATGTATCAGTCTGCACGCACCAACTTCATGTGAAAAATCTCAAAATCTCACTGTTTTGTTACCAAGTATGAGGATATAACATATCCCTACTTCTCCCCTCCCCTTTCAGTTTTAATACCAGCCACTCACATAGCACTTCTCCGACACTAGCCACCTGGAGCTAAGCCAGATCTCACCAGTTAAAAGGACACTGTCCTTCAGACTGCCAAATAGGCAGACACCAGATGCAAGCTTGACAGTCCACATGGCACCCTTACTCCTGACTTGCTGAGAACAAACTAGGGGTTTCCCTAGTACTTCAGGAAGCCAGCCATAAGCTCAGGGGCCTCTTCTGGGCTCCCTCACTTTCATCTGCTGGCTCACACCACTCTGCTGGGTTAAAAAAACTTACTGGAACAACTCACAGAAAGTACTATACTTATAATTACAGATTATTTAAAAAGGATACAAATAAGGATCAGCATAAAGAAGAGATGCAAATGGCAAGGTCAGGGAGGGGGGATGGGGTGGTTACCAACATGAAACTTCCATGTCCCCAAAGCATACATTACCCTCCCATGTTTATCAATGCCCTTCATCAACTCTTGGAACTCAACTCTTGGAAACTCTTGGAACTTCCCTGTCCAAAGCCTTCATTGGCTTCATTGCATAATTATGATTGGAGCCTCACTGAATATGCATGACTGATTAAATGATAGCCCCCTCCCTCTCTGACAATACTGACCAGGTGGTCTTTGTGGAATGGCCAGCCTCCCATTCATTTGTACAAATCCTCAAATGTTGTCTGGAGGTTTTAGATAATAAAGGCATCTTGATGACTTAGGGAATTTCAAGGGTTATCTCTCAGGAACCAAGGACAAAGACCAAATTGAGTTTTGTCTCATCATAGGAGGAGAAATACTAGATCCTCAATGTTTACAGAGGAAAGTATAGATACTGTCTACAATTTAAAGAAAAAAAGTTCAAGACATAGTAATACAAGCATTATTTAAAGGAATGGTGGCAAATACCAGAGGAAATAGTAAACTGTGTTTAAGTGTTCTGAGGAATGAAAATTGAAGAAAGACAGGAATCAGGCAGGTTAAAGCCTGTTCTATTAACTGATTTCTAAAACTATAAGCATGCATTACTTGAAATAAAATAAAATTTAAACATAAAAGAAGCTTCCACTATGAGTCATCTTCAAGGGGGAAAAATGTACCACAGAGAAACAGATTCTAAGTCCTAATTTATGTTAGAAGCAAGTAAACAAAAAAATCCAGCTACTACAACTTACAGATAACTATACAACTCAATATGCCAACAATATGAAGAGGCTATACTAGTTAGTCAGGTCAGTACATTTTGTTTTGTTTTTGTGTTTTTACCAATATGCCAGTCATAGTCCTATGTACAATGTAAGTAGAAGGAAACAGACAATAAACTCATAGATAAGAGGATTTCAGATTTTGATAAATGATATGAAGATGACACAGGGAAATAGAGCAAAGGATGAGAGGGAAGGAGGGGCACATCTGTTTCAGCTCCTCCATGTGGAGGAGACATTTTAGTGAGACTCGAAAGATAAGAAGGAATCAGCCACGCCGAATTTTAGAGGAAGAACATACCAACCAGAAGGCAGAGAAAATGCAATGATTCTGGGATGGACATGAATTTAATGTGTTAAAAGGACAGACAGGTCAGTGTGGTCAAACATGCTGCTGAACTAGGTACAGATTTGAAAAGATGAAACAAGAAAAAATCAGGAAGGTTAATGTTTTGCAAAGGAGTGGCTATAGTGCCAGATCACAGAATCTAAGCTGAATATGACCGAAGGCTCTTGAATGATTGTGAATTATGCAAAAATAAAAATAAAAAACTTAGATAAATCATTTAAATATAATGCACTACACATTATTGTTAACGCTAATGAAAGCCTTTCATGATAAATCTATCAGCAGAAAATACAGATGGGCAGTACTTATCCTTTGTTGTTGTTGTTGTTATGTGCCTCGAGTCTGCCTCGACTCATAGCGACCCCTCCTTGGGTTGCCGAGGCAGTATCCTTTAGTTAACATAAATCTATGCAGCAAAAATAACAAGTTTATGCAATAAGTTTAATATACTGTTTCTTCTTCATTTCAAGTTCACTTAATGGAACAAAAAACTGGTTCAGTTCCAGTATTCCATCTTGGAAAACAAGACACTAATTCTATCGCCTTTGAAAATGACATAAATGATGACTTCTTATTAGCAAAGGTCAAGAGTACTAAAACGGTCTTCCATCAGCCCGTAATACAGACAGACATCGGCATAAGGGGAAATGACACAAATTGTAACTTACTTTTTTAATGGCAACTATTTGATTGGTGTTCTTGTCTCTGGCCTTGTAAACTGTGGCAAACTAGGCAGAAAAGCACAAGTAACATGAGCTTGTGGGAGTTATTTTTTTTATGTTTCTTTCAACTTTTTTATATCATGGGAAGCAAAGGGCGGCTAGACATGTGGTGGAGCACTCCATTCCACTCCACGTCCTCCTCCAGTCTGTTCTTCCGAAAGGAGGGGGCTGCTCAGGGCTCACCTCTAAGGTGTAAAGAGAGGTAGCAGGTGCATCTGGGCGGCCTCCAGCAAGGAGAGCAAGCAAAAGGGTCAGTCCACTGGCCCCCACGAGAGAACTTGCGAACGTGTGAGGCTGCACTGTGCTCTCTATCCTGGGCCCTCCCAATCCCAGCGCAAGAGCCTCACCTGTCCCTCTCCGAGGAAGTCCAATTTCTCATAACGCTTGGCTCGCGACTTCACGTCCAAAGCCATCAGGCTCGTGAAGCCCGACTCCAGGAGAAAGGGCGACACTTTAAGGACTACGGGAATTTAAAGCTACCTCAACCCCCAACAGCCTCTTCCGTTTACTGGGACGCGAGGCTTAGTAGCCCCGCCCACACTTCCGGGATGGGCGGGATACTACTAAGTGGGTTCCAGTGAGGTCCGCCCTCAGGAACCTGCACCAGACCAGGCTGATTGGCTTGTCTCACAGTCTAGTCTGGGTTCCGGAAACCGAGTGTTTCTCGTGACGGCTGTCTGCGTCACCTTTCTACTGTTTTAATTTGGATTTTTTCTTCAGTATTGGAGACAGGGCGACTTCCTGATTTGATGTTCTTCTGAGTTTTGGATTCGGTAGATGTAGAAGGCTTGTCTTTTTTCTTGATGTTGCTCTCTTTTCAGTTCTTGTTAGAGCGTGTCCTCACCACGGTTGCTATGGACGCCAAGCGCCCCCCCCCCCATCTCAGATTACTTACCGGAGTCCCAAATTCTTAAGGGCTGGTCGAGAGGAATTCTTAGTTCAGTCCGTTTATAAAGCAGGCCTAAAAATTCATCTCAATTGACATGTGTGCTGTGGTACTCAATTCCCTACCCTATGAAATGGAAATCATAATAGACTGCATGGAACATGCAGAGTTTTGACATATTAAGTGCTCAATGTTGGCTGCGTTTGACTGATAGGCTGGATGAACCCCTGAAGCTATTGTCCTGAGATAATCTCTAAATCTTAAACCAAAAATATTCCCTTAAATCTTCTTAAAGCCAAACAACAGCTTCTAGAGTCTAGAACGTCTAGATTCTGAAATCTAAGTTTTCATACCAATTAACAAAATAAATTCAAGACTTTAATTCATTCAAAGAATTTAGATTGAGTGTTTAGTATGTATACCAGGCACTGATGTAAATTCTGAGAAATCAGCAAGGAACAAAAATCGCTGCATTCCAGTGGAAGAAGATAAGTAAAATATGTTAGGATACGTAGTGATAAGTGCTAGAGAGATAACAAAGGAAGTGCTATTTTAAGTAGGGTGGTTGAGGAAAGACATCACTGAAAAGCCATTGGAGGATTTTGAGAGCTTGTTTGGAGGTTCCAGCAAGGGAAAGCAGCTACTGGTACAGCTTGACCCAAGGACCGTCCTCCTCTATCGGGGATCTTTTCAACCCAGCCGACTGCTACGGAGGGACTCACTTTGAGTGGTGAGGGAGTAAGGGGACACCGCGGAGCCAGCCAGATCAGCCGAATGAACCCCAGTGCTCCATGGCGTCACAGATGTCACAGCTAGATGGCACATCCATTTTAAAAAATAAAGCAAAAGGGTTTATTGAAATCACAACATTCACATGGGGACTCAAACTTCCAGCACGTGGGACCATGATACCCCAGCTGTTCGAGAGGGTTTTGAGTTGGTGATATGATCTGACTTCTTCTTCTTCTTCTTCTTCTTTTTTTTTTTTTTTAAGGTTTTCTCTTGTTATGAGAAACTAGACTTGGAGAATGAATTTCAAATTCTCAAGGAATCCAGACTTTCTGGGGCCAATAAGGCTGGATGAACCCTTGAAGCTGTTGTCCTGAGATAATCTTTAAACCTTAAACCAAAAATATTCCCTTAAGTCTTCTTAAAGCCAAACAACAGGTTAGCTGAATTACTAAAGAATTTCTGCCTTCAGCAATGTACTCTTTCAAAAAACTATCTGTATGGGATCAAATTGACAACAGCAACACAAAAGGTTAGATGGGAGGTTTAGGGGACAGTAAATTTATGTCAACGGGGGAGGAACAGTTTGGAAAAGGAGGATGAGAATGGTTGCACAAGTTAGAATGTAATCATTACCACTGAATTTACATATAGAAATCATTGAATTGGTATATGTTTTACTGTGTGTATTTTCGACAGTAAAAAAATTGAAAGTATGAATTAAAGAAAGGTCTATTAGAGAATTATTACAATAATCCAGATGGCTGGTACTAGGGTGTTGTTGTTGTTGTTATGTGCCGTCGAGTCAAACCCGACTCATAGCAACCCCTCCTTGGGTTTGTTTTTTACCCAATAAGATTTGTAGTAGACAGACCAGATATTGGTTGTGGAAAAAATTTTTAAAAGTTGTATTCACTCCTCGGAAGGAAGGTTGGGCATTCCTGCTTCCGTAGTGATACTGCCTCTGCCTCGGAAACCCAAGGAGGGGTCGCTATGAGTCGGGGCCGACCCGATGGCAAATAACAACAACAACAACATTCAAGGTTTTGAGCTTGAACAGTTAGAAGGATGGAAATGTTTCCCCACTTTTTTTGCATTTTGATGTTCCTGTTGTTGTTGTTATGTGCCATCGAGTCGGACCCGACTCATAGCGCCCCCTCCTTGGGTTTCCGAGTAGGAATTAACAATCTTAATTTTCAGAGATGTGTTGAGGAAAGGGGCAGAATTACCAAGGGTAATCCTGTAGTCAAGGTAGTATAGTATAGAGGTTGAGTTCTTACTCTGAAACCAGACTACCTGCCATTTGAATACTGCCCTTACAAGCATTCAATCACAAGATGTATGACTTGGGCAAATTAATCTTTATGTGCCTAGTTTTCTCTGTAATAGGACCAGCTCATAGAATTGCTGCAAAACTGAAATGAGTTCACACTTACAAGGTCCTTAGTGTTTGACCACCGAGTGCTCAGTTTATGTTGGCCATTCCTGTTACTTGTCATCTTTCTGCCCTCTGTCACTACTTGGGTCTTAATTGAGCTGATGCACTCAGGCAAAATTCTCATATTATAGAAAACACACTAACTTTAACGCTATCATCTCTCTTACTTGCACTAAGTCATACCCAGTGATGCACGGTATCATGTAACTGAGATCAAAGTTCCTTGTGAAAGCCATCACAATAATCTAACTTTACACGTAGCACTATTAAGCTAGTAAACTAAATTTGATGGTGCACCCATGAGGCTTCAGGTTCCTGAATGTACCATGGTATGAGTTGATAACCACAGCATTATACCAGGCTGCTAAGTAAAACTCTTCAGATAGAACAAAGGCAGTGTTTAGATGATATTCTGGGACAATGTGGTCATTATATATATAAAATAGTATTCAGCATTTGTCTGTCATTTTGTAGTCTGCAAAGTACTTTCATACATCTATAGTAGCCAGTGCAGCTGGAATGCTCCTTGGAAGTGAGAATGGCCAGACTCCGTCTCACCTACTTTGGTCATGTTGTCAAAAGGGTCCATGCCCTGGAGGATATCATGCTTGGTAAAGTGGAGGTCAACGAAAAAGGGGAAGGCCCTCAATGAGATGGACTGACACAGTGCTGCAATGATGGGCTCAAGTACAGCAAGGCTTGTGAGGCTGGTGCAGGACCAGGCAGTGTTTTGTTCTGTTGTACACAGGGTCACTATGAGTTAGAGACGATTTGACGGCACTTAACAATAACATAGTAGCCAGCTTCTAAGATGGCCTCTGGCAATCTTTGTCTTCTGCTATTACTGAATTTTTATAGTCTTCTTCTGCACTGAAATAGGCTGTTCTGAGTGACCAATGGAATATGGGAGCAGTAACTGTGTAATTTCTGAAGCTCGCTCATATAAGACATTGGTGCTTCTACCTCACATGCCTGGATCATTTGCTCTGGAGAAAGCCAGCCACCATATCATGAATTCACTCAGGCCTGTGGACAGGCCTACGTGGAGAGGAACTAAAGCTTCCTGCCAATACACAGCACCAACTGGCCATCCATGACAGAGCCACCTTGGGCATTTATAATCTAGCCTATCAAGCCTTCATAGGACGGGAGTCTCAGGTGGCATCCGATTGCAGCATCATGAGACACTATGTAGAACTGTGAGCCAAACCACTCCTGTATTTCTGACCCAGAGAAACCACAAGGTAAGTGTGCTAGGAATTGACCTCCTCAAAAATATGTTGAAATCCTAACCCCTATACCTGTAGGTAAGAATCTGTTTGGAAATAGGGGGTTTCTTTTGTTGTATTAATGGAGTCATGCCAGTATAGGGTGGATCCTAAGCTAATCACTTCTGAATTATAAAAAAGACTAGCATAGACACAGACACACACACTGGAAAGACACATACCACGGAGCACGAAGGATTGCTAAGGATTGCTGGTAGACACCAGAAACCAAGAAAGAGACTCAGAGAAGGAGTCAACACACCTGAGATCTGGATGTGGACTTTTACCCTCCAGAACTGTGAGAAACTAAAATTCTGTTCTTTAAAGCCACCCATTTGTGTTATTAGTGTTAACAGCAGCGTTAGGTAACCAAAACAAAGTCATTACTATTGTTTTACATTCATTTACCCAGTTTCTGTCTATAGGACCAAATACTAGATTCTTAAAAACAAACAAACAAACAAATAGTCCTGCCATAGTCAGAGAGGACATCAAGCTCAATTGGCATAACATACTACACAAAACATTGTTCCACCTCCTACTTTGGTGAGTAGCAAGTGGGACCTTAAAAGCTTGCAAGCAGCCATCTAGATGCAACGATGGGTCTCTCCTCATCCAGACCAAAGAATGAAGAAAACCAAAGATTCATGGAAACAATTAGTCCTCATGACTGGTATACCATGCAATCCATAGCCTATACAACTATGAGACCAGAAGAACTAGATGGTGCCTGGCTACCACGGTCAACCACTCAGAGGGAGATATATGTAGGAGATCCTGGATAGAGAGGGAGAACAATGTGGAACAAAACTCAAAATCATTTGGAAAAAAAAAAGGGGGGTGGACCAGGTTTGGTGATCTGATAGAACCTGGTGGAACTACTGAGACTATGGTCCCTAGCTGCCCTTCAGGTCTGGAATTGAACTCACACCTGTGGCTACCAGGCACAGGCATAAGAGTGGAATATGTACCTGAGGTAGATACATCCTTTGGAGAGATTATGGGAGAAAGAAGGGCTGTTTATGCACAGGGAGACAGTTCAGGGGGCAGGAAGTGGGAGGGGAGGTGTTGCATTGGGGTAAACTATCAATGTCACCAGACAATGTTTATGTGAATTGCTGTATGGAAAGTGAATTTGCTCTGTAAACTTTCACCCAAATCACAATTAAAAAAAAAAAAGGTCCTGGACTTCCTTTTACTGAAATTAAAAAGCTAAGGGGTGTGGAATAAAATTACAAGCCTTGCTTTATGAAAACAAGTGCTCTCTTGCCCATGACACTAAATATGTTATTAAACATTAAAACCTATATGCTGTATAATTTTATATGGTTTTTAAAGCGTGTAGTTATACCTTAAATTATAACATTTAGAAGAAGCTTGTTTAGTTTCACATATTTGTATTTAGGTGATCATGTCCACTGAAACACTTGAAACGAAATTCTTTCAGAAAACAATAGAAAATTAACGAACAAGTCCTGTTTCCAAGACTTCAAAAGTCACTGATCTTGGGATTGTCTTGGTAAGGTTCCTATTTAAGCTTTGGTGATATGTTTGAGCACATACTGCTCTCTTACTGGAAGTAGACTGCCTCATCTTCCTTCTGCAGAGTGCCTGGCGGGTTCAGCCAAATGCCTTAGGCACTGCACCACCAGAGCTCCATTAAACCCGCAAAGCAGTCTGTTAATGGTGTTTTGAATTGTTTGCTTTTGATGGCGGAAAAACAATAATGCAAGTTAAAAAAAAAATTCCCAAAAAACATTTTAAAAAATCAAAAAAGGAATCATGAACCATGTATTTGTCATGTATCACAAGAACAACTTAGATATCGACAGCGTGCAAGCATCAACGCCTTATCTCATATTTGAGTTGGGAGGCATTTGCAGTGAGCCAAGATATAGAATTTATACCAATAGCAGATCAACTCTGGAATAGTACAGAAAAGTACAGATTAACTCACAGGTAACTGGGCAAATACAGAAATGCACTAAACAATAGTTCCACTTTGTCTATAGCTCATGAGTTACCCTCACTATTAGGGCTGACCTCTTTAAAGCATATTCTAGAAATCATTGAAGGTATGGAAGAAAATTTATATAGCTTTGAGGCTTCATTTTCACGATACATACACTTTGCACAGGAAGACCTTATTAAATTTTCACAAATTGCCTTAAATTAGATAAATATTTCAATTGATTTTATGAGGCTTTCAGAAAAGCTTGTGAAAGTTAATGGTTATTAGGGTTTCCATACATCATCACATCAAATTGCTAAAATCAAAGAACAAGATTTCATTAACAGCCCTCAAAACAGAACAAATTGCAAATTCTAGTCAAACATTTCTATGCTATATTCATTTTGACTTCTTAATTTTCCATATTATACTCTTTGACATTTTTTCTGAATACAGGTTATAAGTAATAATCTTTTATGTTATCTTCAATCTCAGTACCAAAAAGTCACTTGTTTTATCTCAGCCAAGTTGCTAACCTTTCAAGAAGATACTCTACAACCCAGCTATAGTCCAATAACCTTGTGAATGAAAGTTGTTAAGAGAATTAAAAATAAATAATGGAATAATTTTTTAACTGATTTTCATCTAATTTCAGGAAAATCACTTCCCTAAAGGGGCAGTTTTGCCTGATAAATTGTTTCCATCTCTAAACAGAAACCAAAAGAAAAGTGAAATAGGAAACCTCTGAAAGTTTACTAGACATTGTGTGCTTTTAATAGTTGAACACTGGTAATACTTGGTTATCAAGAGTAAGTTAATAGGCTAACATTTAAAAATGTATACTTTAATAAGAATAAAGTATATAAACGATTAGGTAAGCTTATGGAGAAGCTGACCCAGATACATAAATTAGGATATATAAGTGTCCATCTAAATTTTCTATATTTCACTTTTTTTACAGAATATTTCATTAAAGTGGTTTAATGTACAATTTCTCATTTGTCATTTTGGAAGTCCTTTATTGTAAAGATAATTCTTTTGTCTGATGACAAACAGCAGCCACATTGTCAGTGATTATTCTGGACCTCCACGCTAAAAAGGAAAAAAAAATAGAACAGTAAGAATAGGTGTTACATTTACACAGGAAATGTTTTCATGGAAACTAAACAAATTTATACAGTTTTAAGCAAATGATCTTTAATTTTTAAAAACATAATTTAAAATTTTTCACACTTTTTGGCCACTTGCATTTCTCGTTATAAATATCAATTCAGATCTGGAAGGAACTTAAGTTTGACCTAGATCAATAGTTCTCAGATTTCTCGGTCTTAGAACCCCTAAGCTAAAGGAAGCAAGCCGACAGCTAATGGAGATCAGGAAGCTACCTGGTGGTGATATGGAACAGCTAAGGGAGACCAGGAAGCAAGCCGGCACCAGTTTGGAACAGGTATGGGAGACCAGGAAGCAAGCAGAGTGGTTTGGAACAACTAAGGGACACAAACTTGTCTGTCAGTTTGTCGTACTGTGGTGGTCGCGTGTTGCTGTGAGGCTGGAGTCTACGCCACTGGAATTTCAAATACCAGAAGGGTCACCCATGGTGGAGAGGCTTCAGTGGAGCTTCCAGACTAAGACAGAGTCACAAGAAGGAAGGGGCCATCCGATTCTCAAAGAATTGGTCAGTGAAAACCTTATGAACAGCAGTGTAACATTGTCTGATACATTACTGGAAAACTTTATAAATAGCCCTGAAACATGCTCCGTTATACTGCTGGAAGATGAACCCATCAGTTGGAAGGCAGTCAAAATGCAACTGCGGAAGAGCTGCCTCCTCAGAGTATAGCCGACCTTAAGGATGTGGCTAGAGTAAAGCTTCTGGGACCTACATTTGCTGATGTGGCATGACTCAAAATGAGAAGAAACAGTGGCAAACATCCACTAATAATCAGAACATGCAATGTACAAAGTACGAATCTAGGAAAACAAGAAATTGTCAAAAATGAAATGATTAAGATCAATGTCCTAGGCATTAATGCTCTAAAATAGACTGGGTTTGGCCATTCTGAACCAGACGACCATATGATCTACTATACCGGCAATGACAAATTGAAGAGCAATGGTGTGGCATACATCATCACAAAGAATGTTTAAAGATCTATTCTGGGGCTAAGCTGTGGACTTTTGCCGGTCAGGAGGACGCCGCCATTTTGAAGGTTTAAAAAGCGGCTTGACTATTTTGGATATTTAAAGAGACAGTGCTCTAGCAGATTCCTGTGGTGGTAGGACTTAAGAATTA